GAGGAAGCAACACTGACAGAATTGTGGCTGTTTCAACTTCCAGTACAATGGCTTTCCTTTGTTTCCCTGACTCAGTGTTTGTTTTTTAAAGATTTATTTATTTATTTGAAAGGCAGAGTTACAGAGAGGGAGAGGCACTTTCCAAATGGCTCAATAGCCAGGGCTGGGTCAGGCTGAAGACAGGAGCCTGGAACTCCATCCAGGTCACCCATGTGGGAACAGGGGCCTAAGGACTTGGGCTATCCTCTACTGGACTGGAAGTAGAGCAGCAGGAACTCCAACTGCTGCCCATATGGGATGCTGACTTCACAGGTGGCAGCTTAACCCACTGTGCCACAGTGCCAGCCCTGTAATAAGGACTTTTAAAAGCTGCTATGTATACCACAATCAGGAATAACATATACATGGCCAGGGTTGGACACCTACTCAGAAAAGGCCTGAGAAACCCTAAACTTTTACCTGAGGCTCTGCACAAGCAGGAGGTGAAGGCTAAGGCAGAGTGGTAAAATACCTGGCTCAGTTTAAAGGAACGTGCTAGCACAGAACCAATCTGCAGAGACTGGGAAAGTATTTTTTCTTTTCTTTCTTCTTGTTTCTTTTCTTGGCACAGTGTGTTTAAGGAAACTGTCAAAACACTAGCTAATCACTTTGCTAACAAAACACAGACTGCAGTGGCCATATTTGACAAAGGATACAGACTTCATAAAAATACTTTCAAAAAGTTACTGAACAAACAACAATGCAAAACAAGCAGCAAGAATAAATTCCAGGAAGAAGGAAGAATCTGGTATTCTGAGTTGTCACATCAAAATATTCAAACTGTTCAGTTTCCACCAAAAGTTATAAGGCATGTAAAGAGGAAGGTACAGGCCATTCAAGGGGGAAAAAGAATGAAATCATTCCTGAGGAAGCCCAGGAATTGGACTTAAATTAACTATCTTAAAAACACTCAAAGAGCTAAAAGAAAGGGGCTGCCCCATGGTGCAACAGGGCTGTCACCTGTGACACTGCCAGCATCCAATACTGGTGTGCTGGTGTGAGTCCTGGCTACTCCCCTTCTAAACCATCTTTGTGCTGATGTGCTGGGGAAGGCAGCAGATGATGGTCGGGGTGCTTGGGACCCTGCCACCCAAGAGGGAGACCCAGGAGGAGGGCTTAGCCCTGGCTGTTGTGGCCATTTAGGGAGTAAATCAGGGGATGGAAGATCAATCTCTTTCACTCTGCCTTTTAAATAAATGAATGAATCTATAAAAAGAGACAAAGAACGAGTTTGGGTATCTCTCAAGCCAAGAGAGGATCAAGTTTTATTTATTTATTTGAAAAGCAGAATTACATAGAGAGAGAAAGGAACAAAGAGATTTCCCTTCTGCTGGTTTACTCCCCAAATAGCCACATGGTTGGGGTGGGACTGGGTAGAACCCAGAAGCCAGAAACTCCATTTGGGTCTCCCACATGGGTGGCTGGGAGGGGTCTAAGTACTTGGGCCATCTTCCGCTGCCTTCCAAGGCACATTAGCAGGGAGCCAGGTCAGAAATAGGACTTGAATTGGCATATGGTATGGAATGCTGGTGATATTTGTAGCAGCAGCTTAACCCACTGCACATGCCGGCCCCAAAGATCAAGTTTTAAGAAGAAATGTTTAGTAACAGTGGCAAATACTGGGTAAAAATCACAACTAGTGTTAATTAATGTTTTCCCAAGAGTTGTTTTAGAAACCAGGTTGTGAATTAAAAAACAAAACTGGCTATTAGAGTTGGATGGTATGAAGAGGCTATGTGGATGGTAAGAAGAGAAAAAATATAGGCTATCCTTTAAAAAAGAAAAAAGAACAATAAAATATCTTATCTAGCATGATTGCAAAGGATATAATAAAGACTTGGGATTAAGAACCCAAGTGGGGGCTGGTGCTGTGGCGCAGTGTGTTAAAGCCCTTGCCTACAGAACCGGCATCCCATATGGGAACCAGGTCTAGTCCTGGCTGCTCCACTTCTGATCCAGCTCTCTGCTATGGCCTGAAGATGGCTCAAGTCCTTTGAGTCTCTGCACCCAAATGGGAGACTTGGAAGAAGCTCCTGGCTCCTGACTTTGGATAAGCTCAGCTCTGGCCATTGCTGTCAATTTGGGAGTGAACCAGTGGATGGAAGACCTCTCTCTCTGGCTCTACCTCTACCTGTAACTCTGTCTTTCAAATAATAAATAAATCTTTAAAAAAAAAAAAAAAAAAACCCAAGTGGAAATCAGTTGTAGATGAAGAATGGTGGAAGCAGTAGTAAAGCTGCCACCTTCAGTGCCGGCATCCCATATGGGCGCTGGTTCGAGTCCTGGCTCCTCCAACTCTGATGCAGCTCCCTGCTAACGTACCTGGGAAAGCAGCAAAAATGGCCCAAATCTTTGGGCCCCTGCATGCATGCGGGAGAATCGGAAGAAGCTCCAGGCTCCTGGCTCCAGATCAGCCTAGCTCCAGCCATTTGGGGGAGTGAACAAGCAGATGGAAGACCTCTCTCTCTCTCTCTGTGCATCTGTCTCTCTGTAACTCTGCCTTTCACATAAATAAATAAATCTTTTTTGTTAAAAGAAATAAAAGAAGAATGATAACAATACCCCAAAGGAAGATAGTATGGATGGAAAGAAAGATATTTGGAGAGGTGAAGAAAGGCGATGGAGCTTCTGCCAGATCTAAGTCTTTCACTAAAATAGTAAGTCAGATGGGGCTGACACTGTGGCACAGTGGATAAAGCTGCCACCTGGGATACCGGCATCCCACATGGGTGCCAGTTCCAGTCCTGGCTGCTCTACTTCCAATCCAGCTCCCTGCTAATATGCCTGGGAATGCAGCAGCAGATGGTCCACACGCTTGGGCCCCTGCACCCATGTGGGAGACTTGGAAGAGGCTCCTGGCTTCAGACCAGCTCAGCTGCATCCATCTGGGGAGTGAAACAGCAGATGGAAGATTCTCTTTCTAACTCTGCCTTGCAAACAAATTAAATCTTTAAAAATAAATAAAATCAGTTATCTGGGACAGTGAGTAAAGGCGTCTCAGGGAACAGATTAAGTCTGGAATTGCTAGTCCTACTGTTATAGCTTTTCCACTGATCTTGCCAAAAACAATGAACAAGACATGGATGAATAAAAAGAAAGCTGAGCAATATTTGAGCTGTGTGTGAGTTCTGCTGAGGTGAGCTAGTCTTAGTTCAATTAACAGTCTGCCTGTCTGCAATCTCCATAAAATTATTAATTACGTGAGGGAAGAAAGTACTTATCTGGTTCACCACTGTATTTTGATGAGTGTAAGGCATTCAGCAAATAGCTCATATTTGAATGAATGTGGAACGGACATAATCCTCATTAACGTTAAGAATTTGTTAATGGTCATTATTTGACAGATATGACTGAGAGGTAAAAAATGTCGTTGGCTGATATTTAGGCTGTTTTGCTAAACCTACAAAGACATTAGATTGCTCTTTTAGGTTAGAATCTGTTTTAGGATAGAATCTGTTCAATAAGCTAAAAAGGTCATTGGGAGTTAAAGTCTTACCTTAGGAAAAATGCACCAATTAGATTTTTGTTTATGGTCAGACTAGAGACTGAGTCTGATTGTTAAGTTACTTTACTAAGAATTAAGTGATCTTATGTTTTTGGGAAGTGAGGGATTCTACACGAATTAAGTTTTCAGACACTTGAACCTCATTCCACCACTAATAATCATTTTAAATATATTTTTAATTTTGGATGGAAATCTTTTTTTAAAATTTGGCATATTTCCTGGCATCTAAAACATAGCTGAAAGAATATGGTTTAGCCTTTTAAAAAATATATGGAAGTCACTACTATGCTTCCATTATGGAATCACAAAACAACAAAACACTGAGGAGGGCTGAATTAGGAGAGCTACAAACCTCTACTATGAGTAGACTACATATCTATACTTTTTTTTCTTCCAACTGACCCTGTTTTCTATGGTTAAAGTGTCCACCTTTTAATTTGTTGCTCTGATTTGTAGTAAGCAGAGTAATGTGGCTTATTTCACACAAGTGTTTCCATTGTATATAATCCTGCTATTTTCAATCTGACATTGCTTGTTTTGGAGATCCGACCTACATACATAAGCACAGATGCCAAACGGTGATTCAGAACAAAGCATAAATATTACTAGTTACAAGATATTTTATATATAACACATGTACATAATTTGTTTCCATCTAGAATTCTTAGCAAGTACTTTCTCTAACATACTCTATTTTTCAGTTTGAAAAAGCAGCGCCGCGGCTCAGTAGGCTAATCCTCTGCTTTGCGGCGCCGGCACACTGGGTTCTAGTCCCAGTCAGGGCACCTTCTGTCCCGGTTGCCCCTCTTCCAGGCCAGCTCTCTGCTGTGGCCCGGGAGTGCTGTGGAGGATGGCCCAAGTGCTTGGGCCCTGCACCCCATGGGAGACCAGGAGAAGTACCTGGCTCCTGCCTTCGGATAGGCGCAGGCAAAGGAAGACCTTTCTCTCTGTCTCTCTCTCTCACTGTTCACTCTGCCTGCCAAAAAATAAATAAATAAATAAATAAAAGTTAAAAAAAAAAAGGCAGCAAAATACTAAAATCTGAAGGTCAGGAGAGCTGAAAGAAGTATTTCCCAAAAACATTCAACACAAGCTGGCTAAGGAATATAAACTTGAAACCAAAAATGGGCATGGGTGACATCACTCTGACTTACAAGCAATTAAAAATTTAAAAAATCTGAGTGCTCTATGATGATCTTTTAAAAAAGAAATCTTAAGAATGCTGAAGCTCTAATACTGCCCTAGACTTACTGTTGAAAAGAAACTTAAATAGTACAAATGTTAAGATTTATGCACCAATTTTCTGAAGGTAGAAATGTATTTCACTGCATATTATATACTTTTCCCAATGTAAAAATCTGTGAAAAAAAGCTGCCAACGAATCAGTTCCCACACTAAGGAGCCATCTGTTTAAAGACGGGCAGTGAAGCAGCTTCTGCTAAGACCCACGCACACATGCAGATCTCAGCCCTTTCTGTGCTCTGCTATACAAGGCTGCGACCAGACCAAACTCACTGGGTTGCACAGCAAAGGCATAAACCTGGGTAAGACTCTTTTTTCACTGCTAGACATTAGAACTGTGGAAACCGCTATAGGTTAATAGGGCAGAATCTTCACAAAATGAAAGCTTTAGAAATTCTAGATTATATCTTATTTTTTCTCAGATGGGAAAAACAGCCCAGGCTTAATCTCAAACAAAATTATCTTGAACTAAGAAGACAGAGTTTATTACAGTTCCCCCAAATATCAAAGAGAGCTCTTAAGACCAACTTGAATAAGGGTCATGAACTGGCTCAAAACACTTAATCAGTGGTTTTATGAATTACAGTGAATGCTGCTACTCTCTAAAAATGAATGTATCAGAGGAAATAACCTCTTTGGCATGCTTACAACTACACAACACATTTATTTCACTGCTTGCAAGCGTCAGTGTTGCAGGCTCAGAATATTGAGAAGGAATTCAGTCCTAGCAGCAAGCTGGTCCACGGAACAGACAAGACAACATGCCTGGAAAAGTCACAAGTAACTGAGAAGCAGGTAAGTAACGAAAAACCTTGAACTGATCTAGGTTATTCTAATCTTCAACAGCGGTGTTACTAGTTAACCTTTTATCTCTACTCAGTAGCTTAAAAACCAAAATGAAACATTTACTAGTGATAAGGGGGATATTTTAAATATGGGATTTTTGAATTTTATGAATAAATGTCTAATCTTCCTCTTCGTTTTCTATTTCAAGGAAACTGGGAAGGTTAAGGGGGAAAAAAGATTACCATGTGAAACAAAGAACTGGCTCAAATTTGGCATACATTGTTAACTTTTTAAAAGTTAAGTAATTAAATTTAGAAAATATTAGTTGCAGAAATGTGCTAAGAAAGATGAAATTACTAAAAACAATTATGTGAATCCTAGTAATTTCCCCCCACCCCTTTTCTCAAACTACGAGAATTCTACACCAAATGCATTACAAAAAAGGCATTTATAGCAGTACCAAGATAAAACTGGTCAGACAAAATCATTATATAAGGATTCCTAGCTGATAAATCATTTATTCAGACCTTGGTTGAGCCTGGATTCTTCCTAAGTGGGTGGCCAATGGATCCTGAAAGTTAAGAACTACTTGGTGCTCTGCTTTCTATTCTTCTGTACGTATTTTACATAAGAGGCAAAAAAGGGTCAGAAAACATCCGCTTTGTAAACACTATTCAAAAAACTACCATGAATCTTGTAGCATTATTGAGGCATAACAGGAATACTGTACTTTCGTGGGAACTGGCTGAACTGTTACAAATGCACAACAGACCTATTGAGCAGGAAGGGGTTGCTAGGTTTAAGGGTTTTTACCACATTTTGGAAATAAACAACAGTGCAATCTATATATTTTCTATCTAGGGGAAACTCTGGCATTCAAACCCAAACATGACTCTGCAACTACAGCAAAAAAGGGGAAAAAAAATATATAGCTATTTTTTCAAAGCTATTGATTTCTTTCACTGAGTCTTTCAAAATCTAAGTCTCCAGAAGATACTAAATATTTGAATTCTCACCTACAAACACGGACAGACGTGTGTACGTTCTCAGAGAACTTGAATTTTTTTAAAAAGAAGTGTCACCTTTGGCTTCGAGTGTCTGGCCTAGGAACAGTGCCTTAAAAAAAGCAGATGACCAGCTTAGCTACTGACCATGCTGACTATTGTCCAGAATTGGATGCAATCACAGAAAAACGGCGAATGGCTCTTTCTTACAGAATGTCTGAACAAAGTGCAATCCCTGAGCACGCTTTGCAGGGCACATTCAATCGCTTGGTATCTCCTAACCAGTCTGGATTACAGACAGAATCAGTATCAAAGGAAATGAAACAGATCATCGAGGAACAGGGAAACACACTGCACTGGGCAGCTCTTGTAATACTCGTGGTGATAATACCCACGATTGGTGGGAACATCCTTGTTATTCTGGCCGTTTCACTGGAGAAAAAGCTGCAGTATGCTACCAATTACTTTCTGATGTCCTTGGCGGTGGCTGACTTGTTGGTTGGATTGTTTGTGATGCCAATTGCCCTCTTGACAATAATGTTTGGTAAGTATTTCGCTCTGCTTCTGCCATCAAACCAAAGAACTATGATACACAGTTAGGGAACTGGATGCTCATTTCATCTTTATTTTCCATGAAATAAAAGCAGGACTTGGACTATTTAATGATAAAGTAAACAGGACTTCATTTTTCAACATTTTCTATGGTTGATAATCAGTTTTAAAGAGCAAAACCTAATTTCTTGAAAACAATTTTACCTCCCCCTCAGTTATCTAATAAAATCGTTTAAGAAGTCATTCACATTAGTAATATTCATTGACTCTGCATACGTCATCCAAAAATTATAGTGAACAGCTCTACACCTTAATGTTTCTACCATTGATCCTTTTCTCATAAGAACAATTAGGACAAATAAAAAAGGACAGTTCCGGGACAGATATGTGCTGGGTTAATTATGAATAATGAGGTCTTTGAATTATTAAATCAATTTAAAATGCTAAACTTAAATTTAAAAATTGCAATTGCCCTAATTATTCTTGTTATAGCTCAGTATAGTTTATGTACTTGAAACTTGAACATAATTCCTACACAGGCATTACTTAAAGAATTTAAGACGATGTTCAGCTGCTGAAGGAAATGGTCTGGCTCCATGTCCTAAGAGATGATCCATCTATTTAATTTTTTATGCTACCTGACCATCCATGTTCTGGATTAACCTCTAAGTTATCAAATAAGTAGACCAAAATGTGAGCTTTCACTGTGCTAAAAATATAGTTTTGATATTTGTTATAATAAAATAATTACATTAAAGCAGACATAAGTAGTTTTTGATTTACATATATCATCTCTAGCTATAAAATCTGAGTACACAAATAATTCTGTTGATGAGTTATGAGGGCTCTGATGCCCTCAGAATCAGCATTAAGAGGATACTTACTCAATGCTTGAGTAAACTGATAATACTTACAAACTGGTTAAGGAAATGATTTGTAATAGAAATAGCTTCTAAGAATCATATGGTAAGGATAAAAACATTTTAAGTTATAGAAGCAAAATTTATTAAACTGGGATGCATCTCAGAAGATGAAGAAAAACTGCTACTCCAACTATCATTCCAGGTTTAAAATGCTAACACTTCTGTAACAACTGAAAGATAGCTAAAATTAAGCATCTCTCCCTGCCCCAATATATAGTCAGATGATGATAGGTTCAAACTTCCCACTTGAAATCATTTACCCAAGCTTTAAAGTAAATCAAGAAAATTCTATAGTGAGACAAGCAATAATGAATGAGGTTTGACTGCTTTACCCAGACTGTCTGATTACTAATGTTGTCTATCTTCTTCCCTTTTATAAATCTGTAATCTTTTGAGTAATGCAAAGCTACATGTAACCTTGGAAAATAACTAAGAAATCTTACTCTAATGGAGAACCTCAACAACTTTAATTCTGATTAAAGTTGAAAATAAGTAAAGTAAATAAGGAATATGTAAGTAAAGATTGTACATTCAAGTTCTCATCTCCACACACACAACTGTAGCTTAAAGCATAAACTCATACCCTTCAAACAGTGCTTGCTAGGCATACAGAAAACATCACAATGCTTATCTCACACTACCATAAAATTTAATTTTTATGTTATATTGAATAAAATAAACTGAGTGAGTTAGGAGAATGTGAACTATAACTTTAAAATCCTTGAGTCCATAAATATCAAACTCCTACTATGTGCGAAGTACTGTGGCTGATACTTTTATCATCAGTAATGGTTAAGGAATCTTAAAAGGAAAATTCCACAGTAATAAAAGTGAGCTGACAAGCAAAACAGAAAAACAGGTAACAGGAATAATTCCATGTATTCTACAGAAAAATAGTAAGTATCCTGAGAAAACTTTGGTACCCAATGTATTCTTAGCAATAAAAACAAAAAAGCATATATATATTTTAACATAAAATATGTGAAATGTCTGTATTTATGTCTTAAATGTGATATATATTTAACAGAATTTTATTCTTTTAAATCTCAATTCTGAATTACAAAATAAAATCTTTCATATCCCCACTTTTATTATCAGTAATTAAGCTATATAGTAGAGTAGGTAGATTTTTGGAAAAGGAATTTAATCACTATATAAAACTGTTACAATAATCATTTAAAACATAATTCCATTAATATGAAAAAGGGTACACTGTCTTCTAAAACTCTTCAAAGGATACAGTACTTATGATAAATGGGATTTGACTTCAAATACGTACAATTTTTACAACCTTCACACATTAATAAGTACTTTCTAAACTAATGTATTTATAAGAAATTCAGATAATTTTAAAAGGCATAAGTAGACTAAGTATATTCTTCTCTGAATACAGGGATAATCTTCAGAACTTCTCAAGTCTAGAAAACAAAAATGTTCTGGGAGCTGTAATCATAAAGGATTAACTCCCGCTATGAGCAGTTTCAGCTACCTCAACCAAAGTAACACAAAACTTTAACTAGCTTATTTTAGAATACATTTTTTAAAAAGAAAGGATAAAATAAAATTGTACCTTTTTACTGAGGGATATTTTATTCAACCACTCAATGGTTAGTTGTTTCTTATCTGAATTTCTATTTTACCAGGATAAGGACTTTAATTTCAAATCAGTTGTGTCAGGTCAACTTCCCTGACACTTCTTCCTCTCCGGGAGCACTGGACTCTGTCTTTACTTTACAGCCTCATTTTTTATGATCTTGCTCATAATTTCTAAAATCCATGACCACAAATCAGTGGTTTACAACATAATGCTTGAAAATGTCTACAGTAGAAATACTGTGGAAGGAGCAAAACAGAACATTTTACACTGATATAAAAAAGAACAAATGTTTACATTTAAGAAGTCTAAATTTTTCCTTCTCTTATTTAATATATTAAAAATGTAAAGGAAAAATACAGTATTTGGTTATCCACTGATTGTTACTGGCTTATTTATAATTTAAGTTTTTACTCATGCCTCATGATTCCTAAGTCGAAACAGTATCTGTGGCACACCTGAAAGTGTGTAAAATGGCTAAAAATTGGGTGTTTGAAGCAAGACTTCCTGGTTCTCTTTGGTTCACTTAGTATCTCAAGAGTTCAGGGCTGGCTCCGTGACTCACTGGGTTAATCCTCCGCCTGCAGCGCTGGTATCCCATATGGGCGCCGGGCTCTGGTCCCGGTTGCTCCTCTTCCAGTCCAGCTCTCTGCTGTGGCCCGGGAGTGCAGTGGAGGATGGCCCAAGTGCTTGGGCGCCTGCACCCGCATGGGAGACCAGGAGGAGGCACCTGGCTCCTGGCTTCGGATCGGCATAGTTCCAGCAGTGGTGGCCATTTGGGGAGTCAACCAAGGGAAAAAAAAAAGGAAGACCTTTCTCTCTGTCTCTCACTGTCTGTAACTCTACCTGACAAATAAATAAATAAAATCTTTTTTTTTTTTTTTAAAGAGTTCAGGCCGGCGCCGCAGCTCACTAGGCTAATCCTCTGCCTTGTGGCGCCGGCACACCGGGTTCTAGTCCCGGTCGGGGCGCTGCATTCTGTCCCAGTTGCCCCTCTTCCGGGCCAGCTCTCTGCTGTGGCCCGGGAGTACAGTGGAGGATGGCCCAAGTGCTTGGGCCCTGCACCCCATGGGAGACCAGGAGAAGCACCTGGCTCCTGCCATCGGATCAGTGCGGTGCACCGGCTGCAGCGCACCGGCCGCGGCGGCCATTGGAGGATGAACCAACGGCAAAGGAAGACCTTTCTCTCTGTCTCTCTCTCTCACTGTCCACTCTGCCTGTCAAAAAAAAAAAAAAAAAAAAAAAAAAAGAGTTCAATCACCTTGTCTATGAAACTAGTGTGCTAAATCTCTATGAACTCCAACAGGAATCGCCCTCTCGGAATGGCTTTTAAAATATAATCTTTTAAATCCTCAAAAGGAAATATCCTATACCCCAGCTTTAAAATAAGGGTCAATATTAATTAACTTCTGAACAAATGAAATACTTTCCAAACTAAAAATGTACCCAAAAGGTCAGCAGGTTTCAGATAACCTGAGTTCATCAGGACCCTGTCAAGACAGGTTCTGGTTTAAAATGATAAGTTTTTACAGTAATTAAAAAGAGAGTAACAACACAAACCCCCAAAACCCAAACAGAAAACCCAAGCATGGCCCAGTTACAATGCATATAGGTTATTCATAAATAACATACATACATATGTATGTATACATAATGTAGCCATTAAAATTCAATGTCAGTAAAACATACTTTTATAACAAATTTAATTCAAGATTAAAATAGAATTAAACATGTTCTCATCCCATCTCCTTCTCCTGCCTCATGCTCTGAAGTTCAAAGGATACATGTACCCTTGCTACAACAGAAAGACAAACATTTTATGCGATGATGTGGCTTATTTTTTTCTAAATAGCATTGTTTTCATGTCTGGCTTAGTTGGCTAGTTTCTGTCAAACAACATTAATAAGACCCAACACTTATTGAGAGCTTTCTCTATGTTACATCCTGCTCTAAATACTTCACAATGCATAATCACATTGAACTCTCAACTCTATACAGGTTATTACCCTCATTTCACACACAGAACACAGGTACAGAGGTGTACGTAATCTGAGGTCATCAAATAAGCAGCAGAGACGTGATCTGAGCCCTGACTCTAGAATCCGTTCTTAACCTCTATTCCTCTACTTTCTCAAATGCAAATGAGAAATCCTACCAGCTGAAATTGTCAGAGTTGGGATACAGGACCAACACTTATCTTACCTCCATCTAGCCAGAGGGCCAGAAAATTTTTTTTCTAGGGCCAAGGGAGAAATCAGCATTTTTTTCAATTAGTTAGACTCAATTGGGTCTCAACTAGTACTTGTTTAAATCATTGAGACAACTGCCAGATCTCTTTTCTGAGCATGGTATCAGTTCTACACCAATGCCTATCACGCTGGATGAACCTTGTCTGGGAGCCAAACAGAAACTTACATACCTTAATGACAAATCTACCACCCTTACATGTGGTGATATTTAAAGCAGTCTTTACAT